AATAATCGTTACTCCCACCGACGCAACCCCAAACAGTTTCCTTCGAAACTATCAGCCTTTATTCACCTTGGGTAGTTTTAGTGATGACCCATTGTTTCTAGTGTTTAAGGAATTATGGTGAAAACGTTTAAAATAATTCGCAAATGAGAAACATGTAGTTCCGTTGAGGCAGTCAAAACAAAACAGCACGCTTTCTTTCGCAGAAAATTGTCAATTCTTAAAAACCGAAGATCGCAGATTTTCGGACTACATTTCGCGGTAATGACTTCGAAACTTCGTTCCTCAATAGAGTGGATCATGCGCTTGCGGGACTCTGGCCATCCAAGACTATTATAGCAGCAACACATAAATATCGGCATAATTATCGATTGATAAATTCGTTAGGCACTAAAAGTATCAATGCTGGAACGGACGCGCCCTAGGAGGTTCACTCTTCCTGCCGCCTTCCTGTAAATTTTATAAAAATGTGTTTCAGAGTTAAGCGTCGCTCCAGATGCACACCAAGATACTTATACATGTAGTGGTGTTAACAGGAGAACCATTGAACGAGAGATTGAGATTAATGACGGTCATGGAACAGATTTAACCATTTACTGGTGCCGAAAAGCATCATCTCAGTCTTTCCCTTCTACAGATTAAAACTAAGTTCATTATAACGAAACCACCTAGAAATATAATCCAAGTCCTGGGAAAGGTTGCCTTGTATCGGATCGAAATTATTAGCGGAAGTAAGAATCATAGTATCACCGGCATGGGTGACAATCTTTTAATGACGAATGGGGCTATGCACATCATTGAAAAAACATGAGAAAAAGGAGAGTAAACAGGATTTGTTTCTGAAAGTACACCTCCAAATAGAACGATCTGCTGGCGAAGGAATGGAGGCAGCATGGTCGAGTGGACAGCGTGTCGGACTTGCAATCCGCCGCTCCCGAGTTCAAGTCCCGCGCCCTGGCCCCTACTTGGATTTGTTTCACGGTAGCCCCGAGTTTCAAATCATCGGCCATGCTTGTAATATAGCCAAATGGTTTGCCTTCGGCCAGTTGAGATTCTTAACAACGTTATTTTCAATTTGAGTCATTTGTTTAAGTTGTTTCGTGGGAAACCTGTAAACTAGCTTCTACCTAAGTGTTTCTCCACGTTAAAATGTCTATTATTATTATTATTATTATTATTATATCATTATTAAGGAATAAATAATCAGTAATCCATTGTAGTTCCATATCATAAACGCCATAACGGGACAGTTTACTTAAAAGAACGGAATCGAATGGCTGATAGTATCGAACGCTTTTGATAAGTCAATGAAAACTGTTTCTGTTGCCTTACCACTGTCGGCCTTCTTGCTAATGAGATCTGTGAAGTAATCGAATTCCTATAAAACTTAGTCTCCCGTTTTATCTTAGTGAAACTGTACTTTTATTCAGAGTAACAGGGTCTTTAGGGGTATTGTGGCAGAAGGTGCCCAGCTACTGCCGGGTATACTTACATCAACTGAACCAAAATACAGCAGAGGGAAACATGTTGGTTTGCTGACTTACCAAAAGAAATTTTCTTAAAGAAAAACCCGGTAAAAAGTAAGTAATGGTCCCTTAGAACCTTATCAACTTCCTCAATGTATGTCTTGTTCACCAGAAGCCACGCCATGCATTTACAAAATGTTTTAACAAGTTTTATTATATGGCTGTGCCTCACAAGGACTTGGAACCACTGAATTCACGAATTTGATCGGCTGAAATCAATACTGAAAGCGGTCTAGATTTTCCCATCTAGACCGGCATCTAGACCGATCTAGAAAAAAAAAAAGGTACAAAGAATATAAAAAATTGGCATATAAGACACAGCCATATAATAAAAATATTATTAACCGAGCTAGGTCGGTCTGTATGGGAGAATCCTGACCTCGGTCGCTGGTACAGACCTCATTGCGTTCGGTCTGTACTGGCGACCTCGTTCAAGATTCTCCCATACAGATCTCCCGCTCGGTTAATAAGAACTAATTATTTTTGGGGGTGGGGGTGGGGATTGGAAGGATAGAGAAGTAAAGGGCTGAAACTCTGGCAGTCATGATCCATGCATTTCAAGAAACAGGATGAATCCTAAATATCGAGATCCTAAAACCTACGCTTAGAGGGTACAGGAGTTTCGACTTAAGAGTACTTAAGAAAACCGCTCTAACCTCGGTAACTCACCAAAGTTTAATCGTCTTTCATAACATCAACAGCGCAGTATCTGAATAATCATTTCCGACAAACTGTTAGCAGTTGTTGCCAGAACAAAAGAACTAATGATGATAAAGTTCAGATTTTATTAGAGTATTTCAGCCTTTTTGTTTTCAATTCAATTGTTTTTTTAATCTTAAACCACGTTGAACTTCATTCTCTTTTCTTTCCATTATTTATTTATCCATTTATTTATTTTTAACACCGACTTCATTTACCCAAATTATCTGATGATTATTTCAATGAAAGCCAGGTATAGTTTACGAGCTTCAGTGATACGTTTAAGAATGAGGCGTTGCTCATAGTTATTAATAGTCATACAAAACGTTTGAACTCTATCAGCCCTTGTAGGCTGACTTGCATATGGCTCTCTTGCAGCTACAGCGGCAGCACTTTGAACCACGAAGGCACGTGGTAAAAGCACATGGATCAACTCTACATTGAGATTGCTTTAAGCACCTCCTACAGCAAGGTGTCACTGCAAAAGAGAAACAGTACCCTGAAAAATTTTGCGTATTTTTAAAGAACTAACAAACCTATAAAAACGTGTATACATTTCTTGTTGTTGTTGTTTTTTTTTTTTTTTATATATAAGTTCCCAATCCGGTGGGAGGGGCAGATTTTTCAAATCCCGTTTGAATTCTGAGGTTTTACCTCATCCTGTACATTTCTAATATAAACAATATGTATACACAAAGAAAACAATTACAAATTTGACTAGATAGATATATTGACTCCTTATTTTGTTACGTAATTCAGTCTTTCAGTTAACAAAATAAATGTACTGCAACGTTTTGAAATGCTAAAAAAATTCCGTTTATTACAGTGCTCTTCTCAGTCATTGCTTGAAAAAATAATTGTCACCTAAGGAAAGAAGCGTTCTTTGAAGGAGTATACATGCTTAGACTCATGAGAGATAAAGGGGCTTTACTGTACCAACAGTGACATGGATTCGAATTTCATGGTCTTCATTCATTTAGTTTGGATTATGAAGCACCTAGAATAAAAGTATGATCGCTGGGTGTCATTTCTGTTTTCTTTAAAGTGCACCTAAGCCCAAANTTTTTTTTCGCTTAACGAAATAAGCTTATTTTTTGGAGTATTTCTGTGCAAAAATTTTTTAATTTGCTCAAATCTTTAATTTTCTATGCCCAGTCAAAATACGGAAAATCGGCCGCCATCTTGCCCCACGACCGAGTTTAAAGAAGAATGGCTCTAGCGGGTAATGTGACGTCAAATCGAGAACACGAAAGTCTGCATCTCACACATTTTCACTTGTTTGGGAAGATTGTCGTCGATATTGTCCGAAATATGCCGACTAGGTGTGTTGTATGAACAATGTATGAAGCGCGATACCCTCTTGCAAATTTCACATGTTGCTACATCCTTCTACAACACACTTAGTCGGCATATTTTCGGACAATTATCGACTGCAACCTTCCCAAACAAGTGAAAATGTGTGAAATGCAGACTTTCGTGTTCTCGATTTGACGTCACCCACTAGAGCCATTCCTTCCTCTTTAAACTCGGTCGTGGGGCAAGATGGCGGCCGATTTTCCGTATTTTGACTGGGCATAGAAAATTGAAGATTTGAGCAAATATAAAAATTTTTGCGCAGAAATACTCAAAAAAATAAGCTTACTCCGTTAAGCGAAAAAAAGTTTTTGGGTGTAGGCGCACTTTAATTATAATGACTGACCTACTCGGCTAATTAAAAGAGGAAATGTAAAAGAATGTTATCGCTTACCGTTAGGCCTAACTCGTAACTGTGAAGAAAAGACAATTTGTTAAGTCGATTTATCTCAAAATCAAAAATTTGCTTAGGAGAGCATGACCTATACGCTTTCGTCCACCTCTCAAAAATTCAAACGAACCAAGGCTGATTTCACCTCCTTTATGTCTCTCGATCTTACATTCGCGATGAATTAAATCAATTTGATCTTCCTCATGAGCTTAGAGTTCTCAATAAGTTCTTTGTAATTACGGTAAAACTGACATGATATTTAACAATTATTCGCCGAAGGCGAGGTGAATTTCGTCGAATAATCCCCGAGACGAAGTCGAGGGCGATAATTCGACAATATTCACCGAACCTGAGGCGTATAATTGTTTTAGTATAATTTCAGAGCTGAACAACAGAGAAATGTCTAAAATCATAACATTTTAGTAACATTTATTAACATCTTAATTTAACATTTTATATAAACCGCGCGGAGCGGTGTATGTAGCGTCATATCACGAACCGCTCGACCAATCAGATTGTTGGAAACTCTTTGTTCAGCTCTGAAATTAAACTAAAATATAATATCAAGGGAAAAATTCGCCAGCTGGGGATGTTTTCCAACAGCAAAGTAACAGGGCTGATGATTATTGTCGTTTTCATGTATTTATCATTATTTATCGAATATCGTACCGCACTGTTTTGTAGAGATACGAGGCAGACGATAAGTAGCACCACCAAAATCTTCGACATCTCTCCTGTGTGAAAGGTCAAATTAGAATGAGTGAAGCGTGATAATCCAAATCAATCAATATAAAGCTTCGACGAGAAATCCGATCATCAAGGAAGCTGTAAAATTTAGCTTAGGTTAGAAAATATATATTTTCTAGCCCTGTGCTAAATCAGTTAGGAAGTCATTCGCAGAACTGTTTGGTCGCGAGATAACTTTCATGTTGGTCAACGGCAAAACTGTATCACTGAAGAGTACAAAGGAAGGAAGATTCTCCAAAATTGCTTTTCACCTGCTTAAACAACATGTAAAATGGCGCTGCGTTGTTGCAGGCAGATTATTTGTATGACGGTGTGTAAAAAAGACATGTTGTTCCCTATACCCGGAATTCGCGCCAAGGGAGGTCTTATCATGATTTTTGAACGTGGGTGAAGTAAGAGTGTACAGGAGGCCTTTGCTCATCAAAAACTCATTTCCAAAATATAAACAATTCGATTCATCCTTCGCCTTATTAGGAAAAGATATACATTCACCAATCAGCAAACTAACTGCTTCTTTTGATTTCTCGTCAGAGGTCAACAGGACCAACGAAGAGAATTCCTCAGCATAACAATTGCTGTTACAACTTGCAACTCGTTCTGTATTTACGCTAGCTGACCCTATAAATACATTTTTAAATGGCTATGCAGGTAATTCCTGAAAGAGCTTGGTCAAATGTGTTTAGCCATTTTAGCAAATATATTAATTTACTTTGTTCAACATTCTCATCTCTTACTGAAAGTTATACTGAAAGGAAGAAACGAAACTTGACTATTTTGAGTAAATTAACTTTGCTAATACGCGTGTAACATGTAGGCGTAATAAAAACTCTTACCCAGAATTGTGTTCTGGAAGGGTCAATCTAGTATCATTAAAGTAAAGCTCATATAATCTGTCGCGGAGATTTTACACATTGATTCACTCGGTTACTCACAGAAATATTTGTGAGATTGAAACTCATGAAAAAGCATCATGAAAAGGCGTATCTGGAAGTCGGTGGATCGGCCGTTTAATTTGTTTGGGGAATTACACACTAATTTGATCCTGAGTTGAGATGGTATATCTTTCCTTACCTTTCTTAAAGTGTCGAAATTGTCTTCCTTAAGTCCAAAGTACCTTGTCACTGTGAAATGACTCGACTTAACTCAGCAGGCGAGTTTTATCAAAGTTTAAGTGGGCAGTATTGTTCGCTTGATGATGCCAATAAAGCAGTTGACATTTGCTCAATATTTATAATAAACGGCTAAGTGGTTAGAACTCTCAACAACCGTGGGCTGTTCTATATGCCACGGCGGCTCACCGCCAACGAGAAGGAAACGGCGTCTCGCGAGAGGCAATTGCAATCAGTCTACCCATCGCATACCCATAGTCGAAACTTTTCATGAAGTCATATCCGCCATTCTTCTCAAGGCGAAACAAATGAATTATTGAATTCAAGTCCATGACAATGAAGATGACACCAGGAATATTGACACTAGGAATATTTGTCTTTGCGCATCTAACGGCATAACAGAGGGCTTTTAATTTTGGAGTTTTTGAAATTCTGCTCAGTCACCTTAGTTACCTCGAACAAAAAATATTAAAAGGAAAGGAAAATGTTGAATTTTGTGTGATAGCTGCGTATAGTTGTTTCGACAAAGGTTTGCATTAACAAAAAAATAGTCATAAAAAAAAATAGTCATAAAAAAAAGACTAAAAAAATTATAAAAGTGCACGCGACAATTAATCCCGAAAATTTTTGCGAGTAGTTTCCCCTTCACGGTCTCTTGATATCAAGATTTTAGGGACGTTTGGCATGAGAATATTTCGCAGTGAGTACGGGCTTCGAGTTTCTTAAGAATCGGTTTATTTATTTGACTTATCAAAATCCTTTGAATACCGAATACCCACCGGTTACCTTTCAAGACTGTCACGTGCACTTCTGCCCTTTTTTTCCGTCAACCTTTCTCGAAAAAGCTCTGTAATCTTAACATCGGGTTGTTTAAAATCATCCATTTATCTAATTAATTTTTAAAATTCATCAAATTGTCATGTAGAGAAACGACTTATTTTAATGATCCTGATTTAAGATTTGATAATCTTAAGCGTTGATTCCTGGTCAATTAACTCGGATTAAATTTGAGTTTTCAAAACTGAAATGTGACAGTCTTTCAAATTTGATTTAAAAGAACTTTGAGAAAGACTCAGGGCAAAAAATAACAACAAAGCACTATGAACAATCAAGCGAGCGTGCAAGCGGGAAAAATACATTTTAACGAGCCAAAAGTATCTAATCTAGCCCGCAAAATGCGCCCTAATCTCCGACAAAATCACTTAAATTATGATATTTCCCAACGTCAGTTCCTTTTAAATGGTATTAAATGCATCAAGGAGATATTCATCTAGTGGCCGGTTGGTGGGAGAGGGACAGGAGCGTTGCGTGACGAGCCCTAACAACGGCTGCGAAGGAGACTAATATTCATTGGAATTAATTCTAAAAGTGCACTTAATGCATTTCAGTTTTTTTTGCTTGAACATGGCGTAAATACATATAATTACCTTATGCTCAATTCTCATGTGAACATTCGCCTGCAGATCGAAACATGTCATATCTTAATGATGCTGATTAGAGATTTTATTGCCAAATCCATTATTTCAACAGCATGGATTCCTTCTCAATCAATTTGTATTGAATAAAATTTGAGAGTTTGAGAAATCGAAAAATGAATACCGAATTTAATTTCCTTTAAAATGACCAGAGAATGCTAGTCTATAGTCAGAAGAAAAGGCACTTTCATTCTTGTTTACGTGACGGATCATTGACAATATGGAATAACTTTTAACACCTTTTTCACACATTATTTGAGAATCTGACAACCACAACAAAGTAGATAAATACACTTTTAAGTCATTCTAAAAATCATTTATTCAGCTGCTGCCATGTCTTGAACTAAAATCATGATTGTGTACATTTGATACCAGACTCGACTGGAATCTAGCAAACACGAAGGCCTTTAGTCGTTTGGTATGTGGCTTGAGTTTTTTAAATCTCCTTCTTCTATTTGTGTTTCACCTAGGCTGAGCTTTGAGTTAAAAAGATACAAATGCAACTCCCCGTAGGAAAGAAAAGAAAAAGTGAAGTGATCTGGCGTTGTCAAGTTTCAATACGAATACGTTACTCTTGTGCCTCGTATATTACCACTGAGAACTAGGCAAAACTGAAAATCTATATACCTCATTGCTCCAAACTGATTTATTCTATGTAGTAAGTTATCATTTCATACAGAAGAAAAAAAAGGCTAGTTTGTCTATTAGTTTTGGCGCGACTGTATCAACCCTGGCAGCATGAAGCAGATTTTAGGCTCAATTCATACTCAAGAACACAGAAGCTATGACCGTTATCTTTTCAGTTCTTCAACTCTTTAAGAAGGAGCTGGAACAAGGAAGTAGGTTTCGAGACAAATTCGAACCGCAAGACTGCATCGCCTCCAAAACGTTTATCAACAACAGGAAAAAAAAAAAAACCATAGTGGAGATTCATTTGGTACGTTTGTCTGAGTCATAAACGTATTATCAAATTTTCTAATCTCTCTTCTGAAGAGTGGTCGGCTCTAAAAAGTCTTAGAAAACGCAAAGACATAGTTATCAAAGCGGCCGATAAGGGCGGCTCAGTCGTTGTTTGGCGCACCGACCTCTACCAAAAAGAAGCTTTGCGGCAACTTTCTGACACCTCTTTTTATCAAAAGATCGACAAAGACCTCACTGCCAGCAATCAAAACTCCGTCAAGAATACGATCAACCAACTCATAACTAAACAAGAATTGCCGGCCACAGCAAA